GGGGGGGGGGGGGGGTTGTTGTTAAAATTGTCAACCCTACGCCAAGCGATGTCTTGTAAGAATGAAGTTGTCTACCGTGAAAACACCATTAACCTGTCTAGTGTGGTGCTGGACTTTCAAAAAGGCAGCCATGCATCCACTTCTTCACAAACTTTTAACCTCAGTACGAAAGCTGTTGTGAGCGTGAGAAATTTGATATGCTCAGATTCTGTCAAATTGTTCTTTTAATCCTTTTCCAAGAGCATGACATTTTGCTGACTCGTATCTTCTTGCAATTTATCTTACCTTTGCTTTCCTTTATTGATCATTATATATATATATATATATATATATATATATATTTATAGCCTACCTTTTTGTACACAGAAGTTAGACTGAACTATTTCTGGTAAACCAAAGAATGATGTATTGAATATTCTTATGATGGTAGTTACTGTACGTTTTAGACGGTTTATGTCTGGCAATCTGTAGACTGAGGACTATACCCTGCCAGGGATGAAAGGCATTGATGTACCTGTTGACTGCTTGTGGTCTATTTGATTGTTTTATTTGCCATCTGGCGTGTTGGTCAGTGGCAGGGGGTTACGCCTAGCCTATTGTATTGTTTGGTGCAAGTGTGTAAAGCAGAGAGAGTGAGTGAGTAAAGTGTGAGTCTCAGTTCAGTTGTATTGTTTAATGCAAGTGTATTATGAAAGCAGTCTGGATTACTACAGGTCAGACTTTAAAGGGGAGAGCTGTAGCGAGGCAGTGGAGGCCTGTTGAGAGTTCGGGTGGAGAACAGGTTAGTTAGAGCCTCGGTTTATTTCTGTGTTGTGTGTGAGATTCCGACGCATCGGGGCCCGATCGCTGAGGAAAGGATCACCATCTGGAGAGAAACAGGTTTGGCTAACCCCTGTTGTAAACCCAGGCAGACAGAAGGTTAGGGTTTAACATTATTTGATGTTCAAGTAACAACACTGCTTCTACATGGGTGAGTTACCTTTGTGACTGACTGCAGTCAAGTAGTTGTACTGTACATGTTGTTTTGACACTAAGAATCGTTGAGGTCAGTGGAAAAATACTTCTTACTAGCTCTCAATTGGACTTAATTGTAGTTGATCAACGTCAGGGTGAAAATCCAAAGAAACTGGTTGGTAAACATCGCCGATCGGTGAGATGAGGCGGCAAAGTGTTAATCAGCTGCTTGCACTGTGTATTTCTGAGAAAATTTTAAGTGTTTTAGGGTCTGCTGGGGTAATAATATAGATTGTGCAGCACATAGACTTACTGCTGAAGAGGGATATGCGCTTTACCGATGTTATCAATTACTGTACAGAAATGCAAATTATTGATGTACCAGTCAAAATTTCTGACCTAAAAAATATAAGTGGTCGCATGCTCATGTAACCGTATAATGATAATGGTCATTAGGATAATAATAAGAAGGAAAAAATAGTAGTAGTAATACTAATAATAATAATATTATTGTGACTGTTAGCTTCCCAGGAGGTTAAGATTGTTTCAGAATGCTATCAGATCTGCTGGGGTCATCACATAGATTGTAAAGCACATAGAACCACATGGTGAGATTGTGTCATTACTTGCGCTATGCAAATGTTTATTATTTAATTTTATGACTGATAATCCCCCTAAAACTACAATGGTAGTAGCAGAAGGCAGTATTCGTTATGATTATGGTAATGGTCATGATAATATCAATATTACTGATAATAGTTATAATAACAATGATGATAATTATAATAATGATATGATAATAATAGTGAAATTAGTAAGTACAATAACAATAATGTTGATGATGACGATAAGGAGGTGGAAGAGGGGACGAGGGGGGGGGGGGGGTGGGTGAGGAGAAGATAAGTCTATGATGGATGGCTCACTTAGCACAAGAGGTGATTGAGCGTCGCAGGATTTTGCCAGATGGTTTTGAGCAGATCTGTCCCCATGGTTTTATGCACCCCGCATAATTTAGCAAAATTTGATCATTTTTTGCATAATTTCTGATTATTTTCCTTTGTCATTCTTTGTTAAAATTAACATAATCACATAATTTCACATTTTTGGGCTCAGTTTGCATAATTTCAGAATTTTTCTTGCATAAAACGACGAGGACAGACAGATATATTGAATGACTTTGTGGAGAAGTCATAACCCTGTGATGTCGGATTGAGGCTACAAGATGGAAACGTTTTATTTTTCTCATCAACACTCTCCGTCCACAGCAAACTTAATACATTATGGTACTAGATAGTACCGGTACCTTGGTTTGACTGGCATCAGCACCAAAGGAAATCTTGAAAATTTGAAAGTTTGGAAGGAATAACAACAGCAGTGATCCCAAGATGTTGCGAACATGGACATTTATCGAGTCATAGATTCTAGTTTGTGTTCTGATAAACTCCTGCACGTAGATACTAGTCTGATTCTCTTGTCTTTACCTTGCCATCAGGTATGTTCTAAATAGGTGAGGGAGTGAAACTAATGTTTGCACCACTTGTTCTCACTTAAATGAACCTTTGCAAAAGTCAAATATCTGCTCTTATCTATAATCCGTTCCTTTTTCTGTGTCGTCTATCCCCCATCAAATTCCTTCGGCGACGGATGAATGCAGTGGTTGTAGGCACAACTCTGCATGAAAGGTGGCCATGGGCTTTGGTTGTTTTCCTGCTTAAGTAACAGGGAACACTGTATGGATGTACTTGTTTTTCTTGTACTGGGTATTGTGATGTCATGTGAGCCTTAATTTTAAAGAGGCGTAAACCAGGCTTTAAAGTCTCATATATATATATATATTTTAAAATATATAAAATATATAGGAATATATATATACAACTGTGTATAAAAAGAAGCCCAAGGCCAAAATCAGAAAAGTCCTCGCAGCTTTCATTTTGTCTTTTACCTTTTTGTCCCTCTCCGAGGGTGAGATGTGGGTGAAGAAATGAAAACATTCATTCCTTTTTGTTCACATAAGCTGTTTACAGCTGCTGTGTGATTTTATTATTTCAAAGTTCCTTTTTCTGAAATGATTAGTTCCTTTTTCTGAAAGGATTTGTTCCTTTTTCTGAAAGGATTAACCTTCACTTAAGTGCCTCTCAAAACTGCTCATTTTTTCTTTGGTTTGCTACTCAATGTCCATCTCTGTATCCACCTCATAAATAACCTTACAATGCGTTATGGGTACTAAACCTATAGTAACACACATTTCTTCTCCGTAATTCTAATTATCTTTTTAATTTTTTTGCAATTACAAAATGCAGATTATCTAGAAGTGACTGCAATGATTTTGAAATTAATTTGTTTTGACGTCAAACTCATCTGTGATTGTTTTTTGTTTTTTATAATGGCTGTTGCCCTAAAATAAATAAGGCGTAGAATTCCTAGAAACAGTAGAGTTTTTCTCATACAAACGGCACCCAGTTGAAAATGTTTGTCAAGGAACAAGAGCTGTGTCGTGAAAGAAGAGAAAGCTGCTGTGGACAACAATTTGATGTGTTTGTATGTCTGACGATTGTTTTACACATTTGCAAATTGATGATTTTGTCGTGTGAGTTGTTTTTGTTGGCCATGAGGATTGTTTTATACATTTGCAAATTGATGATTTTGTCGTGTGAGTTGTTTTTTTTGGTCAGGAGGATTGTTTTATACATTTGCAAATTGATGATTTTGTCGTGCGAGTTGTTTTTGTTGGTCATTACACCAGGGGTTAGAGTATTGTTTGGTTTGAGTTTGTGGGACGAAAAGTACAAATTGCGTGTATGAATGTCATGCCAGAAGGATGGACTGAATGGAATTGCAATTATAATTGTAAGTGTTTTACATTCCCATTGACACTATTTAGGTCGTTTAGGAGGTGGATTGCTTCGGCCAACCAGAGCTAAGGGGATGCAACTTCTGATCAGACTGGACGAGATACTCGATAAAAAAATCATCTCCATGTGGACATCCAACTCCTCTCAGGTCTTGTGCGTGCGATAGCAAAGTAAAAAACTGCTACACCATGGGAAATTGTGAACTGAATATGTGTCGTGACGCGGTGGAATCAGGCGCTCTCCAATTTTTGGACATGTGGAGTTATTGGTATCATTTTAAAGCTTGTTCATTTGTCTTGCTTTCAGTGACTAAAAATACTCATCTATCATGAATTCAAAGTCGAGATATTTGCGATTGAAGGAGGTGGGGGTCGCCTGGTTTCAGAGGTAAAATTATCCCAAAAATGGCCGTCAAAGTTTGGTGATTTCCAAAGCTTGAGAGTCCTTAGAAACTGCAGATTTACATTTTTGTGCCTTAAGTCAACATTTTTCAGTGAAATCCACACGGAAATGTGTTTTTAAATCGATCTTAAAGGTGTTGAGTCAAAAACAAAAAACAAAAATTCAATAAAAATTGCCAAGCGGACAGAAACATGCCATTTTCTTCGATTTCATCATTTTGACGAACGCCTAATTTCACCACGCTGCCTCACATAATATGAGTTGATTGTCTGACTGCAAATGTTTTTGATATGAGATCACTGTCATGTCTTTGTCCTCATGTCCCCGGAGAGCGTCTCTGTGATAATATTACTTTTCCTCTTGATGTCATCCTGACAATTCCGCAGTGTAAGAATTGCGATGGCTTTTCCTGTACTTACTTCTTTGGATCTTACCTCTGTTTGGTGTAAGAGTTTTCATAATATTACGGCATTATATATATACTTACGGGTGTGGATCTTACCTCTGTTTGGGTCAAAGATCTGCAGTGTAAGAGTTATCATATTTTTACGGCTTTTCCTGTACAGTGGGTGATTGGTGGGTGCTCTGGTGTGGTTTGCTTCTTCTTTCCTATCAAACATCTATTGTCTTTATCTCCCCTCCTTCTTTTTCATGTTTGTTACTCTCTTGTAACACCTCTA